AGGCATCCAAGCTGGCGAAGTGAAGAAACTCAGGAACGGGAAAGGTCAAGGACAGGAAGTGAATCATCACAGAGTGGGACCGCGGCCCCATCTGGCAGAAGTAAGTCAGACCAGGGTGGGTATCATCATTGTTTTCTATACGTTGTCTATAAACAAGGAATGTAGAGACTTTGCAGTATTAAATTCAGTTATAAACTCAAAAGTTAGTATGAATTGATCTGAGTTTTCAATCATTTGTTTCCCAGAAGTCCAAGGAATGAGTACAAGAGTAGACTTGAGTACTGTTTGATACCAGTCTTACACTAACTAGTATACTTGACTGCTAAAATTGTCCCTTCATCTTATGTTTGTTTTTTCAGAACAGTTAGTAATAGCCTGGAGTCTGTGAGCTGTTCCCAGAAAGCAAGCCTTTTTTGATGTTGTACATGACTGGAGCAGTGCTGTCAGGGATGTTACTCTGGTCTGCATCCTTCCTCAGTCATTACTAATTGCTCATAAGTGCTTCTAAGGTTTTGGAAACGTGAATGTCTCAGTTGCAGTATCTCCTTTCTCTTACTGAAATCTGTTGTTTTGATTGCTACTTGAGCATTCCAAAGCAAGGGTCAAGGCTAGAGTGACTTGGAAATTCATCCAAATATTCTAGGAATTTTCTGGAGATAATTTATACTGAGGTCTCTCAGTTACAAGATATAATGCCTGGGCAGTGCCACATTCTCCCCTCCCCCCATTTTTTTTTTTGTCTTTTTGAGACAGGGTCTCAGCTATGCTATTCAGGCTGGCCTTGAGCTCACTTTGTGACAGAGGTTGGTCTTGAGCTCACAAGGATCCGCCTGCCTCAGCTTCCCAAGTGCTGGGATTACAGGCGTGTGCCACCAAGCCCAGCTTATAATACCCCTTTTTGTGCTTAGGTTGAAGCATGATGTTGCTGGGTTGATTTGTATGCCTACTTTTGTAGAACTTGCACTTAAAATGTAGAAAGAGGGGCAGGGAGATGGCTCAGTAGAATAAGCACTTCCCTAGCAAGCGCAAGGGCCTGAGTTCAATCCCCAGCTCCGCCAAAAAAAAACAAATGTAGAAAGATTCTGACATAATACGCTTCTCATTTTAAGGAGACAGTGCCCTTGAAGACACATGCCCCCTCATATAGTTTTATTATATAAATGTGGAGCTGTGTCACATGTATATTGACCTTCTAGTTTGATGTTGAGCATGGTTGCTGGAGATTAGGGTTTCACCACAGGCCTCTTTCCCCCCATGTGGACATACTGTTTTCCAAGTTAAGGCCATTAGAACATTGGAAATGTAGCTAGGGGGCCTGCCCACTAGCTCAGGTGTTTAAGTGCCTGCTAAAAGAAAGCAGTCAGGCTCAGGATGCTGTGGTTCGATCCCCTCATCCTCAAGCCAAACCAGACCTGCCTGAAGGCATTCTGAGTGCCCCCCCCCCCAAAAAAAAAGGAAATGTAGCTAGAAAAGCTATATCCTGGGGGGCCAAGGAGATGGCTCAGTAGAATAAGTGCTTGCCTAGCAAGCGCAAGGGTCTGAGTTCAAACCCCCGTTCTGGGAAAAAAAAAAAGCTGTATCTTCCCCAGAGCAAACCAGATAGCTATTTAAGTTATATACACAATGATTTTTTTCTTTTTCCTTTTTTTTTTTTTTTTGTATCTTAGGGAAGGCTCTACAGGGTGTTCAGGGTCTCACTACTAGATTGGACTCATGATCCACTTGTTTACAGCCTCCCAAGACCTGGGATTACAGGTGCACAACACCACGCCCAGTCTCATTCACTGTCTTCAGCGCACCCTAGGGGTGCGTCTGGCACGGCAGGCCCAGGGGTTGAACACCCGGCCCCTGCACCTGCTTGTAGGCACTTTAGTCCGCTGAGCTATTTGGCCAGCCCCTATTTTTTTCTTATTTCTCTGTGTACCAGTAAAGCATTTTTCTCAAAATGACATGTGGGCAACACTGGTTTAGGGGTAATTCATTCTGTTGGGAGCCAAATTAGGGTCTCTTGTTTAAAAATGTTAGAGGGGCCAGGGAGATGGCTCAGTGGAATACGCGTTTCTCTGGCAAGTGTAAAGGTCTGAGTTCAATCCTCCGTTCCTCAAAAAAGTAATAATAATAATGTTAGAGCCAGGCATTGTGGTACATGCCTATAACCTCAGGACTCGAGGCTGAGGCAGGCGGCTCACTTCTGTGTAGTGAGTTCACCTCCAGCTTGAACTAAATAGCATGTCTCAAAACAAAATAATGATAAATGTGGATGCATATACCACTCTTCACTTCTTTATGGTCTGGTAGATTATTGTGTTTTATCTTTGTTTTTTCTGGTGATTTCACCTTTCCCTCCTGACTTCATAGATGCCCGAAGGAGAGAGAGTGAGAAGTCTCTAGAAAATGAAATGCTCAATAAGGAGGAAGACTGTCACTCTCCAACTTCTAAGCCTCCCAAACCTGATCAGCCTCTAAAGGTAATGCCAGCCCCTCCACCAAAGGAGAATGCGTGGGTGAAGCGAAGTTCTAACCCTCCTGCCCGATCTCAGAGCTCAGACACAGAGCACCAGTCCCCTACAAGGTGAGTCTGCTTGGAACAGCAGCTTGTCAGCCCAGAATTACAAGTAATAAGTACCTTATGGGATGTTGACTTTATACACTGTGTTATAGTTATGTTCTCTTTGTTCTCTTACTTTACATTCAGTGGTGTGCTGGAGCTGGTTTGTTTAGAGCCAATCATCAGTTTTCTAGAGTTTTGCTAGCCGGTTGACATCCCTTTGGTGGCTTGCAATTGGCTATGAGGGGAGTATTTATGCCACCAAAATCTTCAAACGGTATTATGAGTCAGTCTTCCCACCAGCACCCATTGACAGTATGGCCTTTGGGGGTCACTTCACTTCTCATGTCTTAGATCTCAAAGTCTTCTCTTATTTATAAAAGAATATTGCCCCAGTTCTGCTAAGAAACAAAACAAAACAAAAAAAAGAATATTGCTATTTATTTGCACAGTTGTTAGACCTGTAAAAATATACGGCCCGTTTGTGTGTGCAAATTACTGCTTTTATTGTCATCTTGTTTGTTTGTTTGTTTGTTTGTTTGTTTGTTTGTTTTGGCGGAACCAGTGATTAAACTCAGGCCCTTGCGCTTGCCAGGGAAGCGCTTATTCCACTGAGCCAGCCACCTCCCCAGCCCCTCATCTTGTTTTGTTTTTTTGTTTTTGTTTTTGGGGTTTTTTTGTGGGGTGTGTGTGTGTGTGTGTGTGTGTGTGTGTGTGTGTGTGTGTGTGTGTTTGGAACTGGGGATTGATCTCAGGCCCTTGCACTTGCCAGGGAAGCGCTGATTCCACTGAGCCATCTCCCCAGCCCCTCATCTTGTATTTTAATATTCCATAACATTTAAGTATGGGTTTCTTGTTTATTTCCTGCAAAGCCTACTGCATTTAAAGAATGATTATAAGTTTCTTAACCGGTTTTCTCTCTCAAACAATTTATAAATGTTTTCCTTTCAGTGGTGGGGGGAAGCTAGCTCCAGCTCAGCCTGCTGAGGAGGGGCCAGCAAGAAAAGGTAAGCCTGTGCTAAGGGAAGTAGGTTTTCATCTAGTTAGAGATCTAAATAAAAAGATACCTAAATCTAAAATTCATCTCCTGGGGCTGGCGAGATGGCTCAGTGGTCTAAAGCACCTACTTGGAACAAGCTTGGGAAAGCACAGGGACCGCGGTTCGATCCCCCAGCACCACATGCCAGCCAGCCCCGCCCCCTGGTGGGCTGAGCTGGCCACATACACACACAATAAATAAATA